TAACCCAAATAAATGATAGTGGAACAATCATACAGAACTACCAATATGATTAGGGACAAACAAATTAAAAAATGGAAGACCTGACCAGCACAATTTAAAACATGAAGGACAAATTTACCAAAGATATAGACTCCATGAAAAGTTGCTGAACAGATGTTCCAGAGATAAAGAATTCTATAGAATTCATAAATAGCAGAAATGACCACTCTGAACAGGGTTTCAGAAATTGAGGAGAAAATGGAAATCCATGAAGCTTAGAGAAGCCTTTAAAATGATAAGAGTGGGAAATTCCTCCGACAGCTCTTAGAGGACTCTAAGAAGACCTAACTGCTAACTGGAGTTAGAGAGAAATCCAAAGATGGTACACATAGCATAAAAACATCTGTTACAGAAATCATAGAAGAAAACCTTCCCAGTATGAGAAAAGGACTCAAGCTACAGGCAAGTGAGGCTTACAGAGCACCAAATAACTACAAAGAAAAAAAGAAACTCCCATGACACACCATAGACCAAATTCCAGATGTCCAACAAAAGACACACTCTTAAAAGCTATCAGAGATAAGCAAAAAGATCACTTATTTACTTTTATAAAAGTAAATCCATTATGATTATGCAAACTTCAAAGGCCAGGAGAGCTTGGAGTGCAGTGTTCCAAGCCTTGAAAGAAAACAATTTTCAACAATGTAATAATTAATATATCTACTATATTAGATAATTAGATTATTATAATATGGTATAATTAGATATAACTAATGTTGTTGGGAGCCACTGGAACTGGAAATTAGTCATATTGTGAGGGCAGGACAGAGCCAGAGTGTCTCAAGCAGTCAAGATACCTCTGTCTTGAGAAAAGGGTCCTACCTGGACAAGTCAATCATTAATTGCTAGGCAACCTTGTCTCTCCTGATACTAACTTTGCAAGAGTTTAAATAAACACCCCTATTGTTGTTGTTGGATTCTCTTGCTCATTAGGTAAGAGGTCGCCTCCACCTGACCCAGCTCTTGTCTCTTGTCTATTTCCCTCATACCCACTGCTGCTCCTCCCTGGGGTACACCAGGAGATCGATGAGTTCCCTACTATTCTGTAGGGATATATTATTATCCTGCAAATTTTTCTTTCAAAACTGATGGAGAAATAAGGACATTCCATGACAAAGAACACCTTAAGAGATACATGAACATCAAACCAGCATTTCAAAAAATACTCAAGAATGTTCTAGACCAAGATGATGAAGCCAATAAGGGATCTAACACCAACACCCCTTAAACTCTTCAGTGAAACTGAAAGGGAAGAAGTACTTCCAGACTCATTCATGGACTGTAGCATTACCCTGACTCCAAAACTAGTCAAGGACTTAACTAAAAAGGAAAACTACAGATCAATTTCCTTAATGAACATAGACACAAAAATTCTCAGCAAGATACTGGCAAATAGAATGTAAGAAATCATGAAAAAGATTATACATTATGACCAAGTAGATTTCACCCTAGGCATGCAAGGATGATTTAACAAATGCAAATCAATAAATGTAATATATCACATAAAGAGAAGGACAAAAATCACATAATCACATTAATAAGTGCAGAAAAACTTTGATGAAATCCAACATCCATTTGTGATTTTTTAAAATACCTTAAAGATAGTAGATATAGAAGGACCTCATCTCAATCTGATAAAAACTAATTCTGACAAACAAATGGCCAACATCGTATTAAATGGGGAAAAGCTGAAACCTTTCCTGCTAAAATCAGGAACAAGTCAAGGATATCCACTTTCACTACTCTTATTCAATACAGTACTCAACACATTAGCCGGAGAAATCAGGGAAGAGAAAGAAAAAAAAAGATCTGTATAGGAAAGGACAAAGTTAAATTATCATTACTTGCAGGTGACATGATCCTTTATGTAAATTATCCAAAAATTCCACCAAAAATTAATAACAAATTTAGCAATATTGCAGGATAAAAAATCAACACACAAAAATTAATAGCCTTCATGTACACCAATAATGAACCTACCAAAAAAGAAATTAGGAAAACAGTAACATTTACAATACCATCAAGAAAAACTAAATACCTAGGAATTAACCTAGCCAAGGAAGTGAAAGACAATGAAAACTACAGTGCTCTGAAAAATGAAAAGGAAATGGAAGGGGCCGATAGAAAATGAAAAATTATCCCCTGTTCCTGGATAAGCAGAACCAACTTTGTTAAAATGCTGTACTTCCAAAACTGATATGTAGATTTAATGCAACCCAATAAAAATGCTGACAGTATTCCTCACAGAACTGTAGAAAACAATCCCAAAATACGTTTGGAACCAGAAAAGACTCAGAATAGCAAAATCCTGGGTGACAAGAACAAAGCAACAGGCATCACAACCCCTCTTGCTTTGAGTACATTACAAAGTATATTTTGAGTATATTAAAAAGTATTTTTTGAGTATATTACAAAGCTCAGTGATAAAAACAGCATAGTACTGGCACAAAAAATGGACATACAGACCAATAGAATGGAATAGAGGATGAAACAACCCCAAACACATTCAGTTATCTGATCTTTGATGAAGGAGCCAAAAATATACACTGGAAAAGCCAAAAATATACACTAATCTCTTTGGCAAATAGTCTGGGGAAACTGACATCCACACTCAAAAGATTGAATCTAGACCCGTATCTCTCACCGTGTACTAAACTAAAATTAAAACGGATCAAAGATGTAAAAAATAAAACAGAAACACTTAACCTGATGGAAGATGAAACTGATGAAACTCTTGAAAACATAGACACAGGGCAGGACTTTCTGAACAAAACCCCAGTTGTACAAGAAATAACATCAAGAATCAACAGATAGGGTTATGTCAAATTAAAAGGTCTCTGCACAGCAAAAGAAACAACAACAGAATGAAGAGACAACCTACAGAATGGGCAACAAACACTTTGCTAGTTATGCCTCGGACAGAGGGTTAATGTCTAAAAATATAAAGAACTACAAAAAATTAAGCCCCCCAAAATGAAAGATCCAATCAAAACATGGCTAGCTGAAAGGAATAGATACTTAACAGAAGAAGAGATACAAATGACCCATAAATACAGGAAAATATTTTCAACATCACTGGCCAGTAAAAACACAAATTCAAACAACTCTGAGATTCCCTCTTACTCCAGAAAGAAGGCTTGTCACCAAGAAATGAAATATTAACAAACTCTGATGCACCTGTGGTGAAAAGAAACCTTTCCTTCTACTGTGCTGGTGGGAATGTAAACTAGTACCACCACTGTGGAGATCAGTATGGAGAGTCCTCAGAACACTAAAACTAAAAATTCCATTTGACCAAACTATTCATATTGCAGTGATACATGACACCCATGTTCATAGCAGCACAATTCATAATAGCTAAGTCTTGGAAGCAGCCTGTATGTCCATCCACAGATGAACGTATAAAGAAAATGTGGTATTTATACGCAATAGAGAGCTACTGTACCAGAAAGGACAAATTTGAGTCATTTGCAGGAAAACGGATGCACCCTGAATCCATAATATTAAGTGATATGTCAGATACACAAGTTTAAATATTGCATAGTTTCACATAAATTAGAAACACAAAGTATGAGCAAGTTAAAGAGCAAAAATAAAAGATATTTAAAAGGAAACAAGGGATAGATCTTTTGGAAAAAGGAAAGAGACCAAGAGATGTTGAGAGTTAGGGAGGAACGGGAAGACGATGTAAAAGGAATCAAGATGCATCTTATACATGTAACAACTATCCACAATGAATGTATTCATTATGTACCACAAACATGTACTAATGAAAACATCACATTGTACCTATAAATATGTACAGTCATTATGTCACACTTAAATATTTAAATTAAAAAATCAGTTGTCTAGCCAGGGATATAGCTCAGTGGCACAAGTGCCTGCCTGGCAAGTACCAAAAAAAATAAAAAATAAAAAATCAATTGTCTCTATACACTAATAATGTGATATCTGAAAGTGAAATTTGAAAAGCAATCTCTTTTATAACAGCATAAAAAAGGATAAAATACTTAGAATAAAACATAAATTTAGCTGGACTGGTGGCGCACACCTGTAATCCCAGCACTCGGGAGGCTGAGGCAGGAGGATCGTTGCAAGTTAGAGACCGGCCTGAGCTACAAAGTGAGCTCAAGGCCAGCCTGAGCCGCAAAGCGAGACCCTGTCTCAAACAGATAGATAAATGAATAAATAAATAAATAAACCTTAAATTTAACTAAGGAATTAAAGGACCTATACACTAAAAGTTACAAAATATTGCTAAATTTTTTTCAGAAGACACCATTAATAACATTCAGCCTTTAAAAAGAAGGAAATTATATCATTTGCAACAACAGAAAGGAAGCTAGAAGACGTTACTCTCAGTGAAATATGCTAGACACAGAAGGGTAAATAGTTCCATTTACGAGAGTCCTCTAAAACAGTCAAAATCACGGGAGCCAAGACCAGAAGGGTGGGGGCAGGCGCTGAAGGCGGGGAAGTGACACTTCTAACCAGTGGGTGTCAAACTCCAGTTACTCCAGATGACTAAGCTCGCAGAGAGGCGCTGTACAACGTTGTGCGAACAGGTAACTACCATGTTATACATTTCAAAGCTGTTGCGAGCGTAGGTCTCGTGCGAAGTGTTCTTATCACAATAAGCTATTTAAAAGAAAGAGAGAAGAACGAGGCTAGAAAACAGCCAGAGACCAGAGGCAAGGAGCCCGGCTGGCCTCAGCGGGCTGTAGTAGAACAGAACACAATGTGGAACGGTGGGCAAGTCAGCCACTTCCATTCATTACAGAGAGCTAATCCGGAACTGCGATCCTGAGGTTTCTGTGAAGAGTGTATTATCCGTGAAGGTTCTGACAGGAACACTGGGAGAACGAATGTGGCTGCTGTAAGAATGCTGAATTTGGAGGGGACAGGTCAGCGAAGCTGTGTTACTGCCATGACACAGACAGGGACAGGGACAGTGACCTTACCTGGCTGTGTGAGGAGCGAATGCTGACTACAGACACTCCGTGAAACACGTAGACAGCGCCCCGGTTCTCCTGCTCCCCAGGGGCCCCGATGGCCACGTCCGCCAGCTGGTCCCCGTTCACATCCCCCAGCGCTGTCATCGCCGCCCCAAAGCGGCCCCAGGGATGGCCCGGCTCGCCTTGCAGGACAGCGTCACACCGCCACCGAGCCCTCTGCTGAACAAAGCCAGGGTCGGGCCCCACAGCACGCAAACCTGCCGCCCGCACCCAGAACCCCAGCCCAGGCCCCACAGCCACTCACCCCCTTGGGCAGGGGACACACGGACACCCGGCCCCCTCGGGTCGGCTCGTAGTAATGGGGGGCCCCGATGAGGACCAGGTCGGTGCTGCCGTCTCTGTCCACATCCACAGAGCACAGGGAGGCCCCGAAGTAGGAGCCAATCTGAAAGAGATGAGCCAGGCTCTCATACACCTTCCCATCCAAAGCAGGATGGAGGAGCTTTCTTTCTGTGAAGGAAAAATCACGCCTGCTGAGGAGAACCTTTTGGAGAGCGTGTGCTCTTTAGATGATTCATTATAAATCTTTGAATGTGCTACAAGCTGGAGGAGCATATTATAGAGTCAGGTGGCACAGGGGCTGGGACTCACCCCAACAGAAAAAACCTATCAGAGCAGACAGGGTACCCTTCCAAAAGAATGGAAATCTTAAGCGGAGGATGGTCAAAGCTGGCAGTCTGACTAATAACGCATTGACCAGTTGGATTAAAAATAATAAGTGCCCCTCAGAAATGTTTTGTGTGATACTGAGAAATAATGTCTGCCTATCAGTATAGAATTGTTTAAAAATATAGCCAATGTCAATAGGTAGAATTCACCCACTGGATTCCTCCATTTAACTATCCATTAATTCATTCAACAAACAAGGGTTTGTTATTTGCTAAGCACAGGCTGGGCGCTAGAGACACAGAGAAAAAAAAAAAAAAATATATATATATATATATATGTATATATATGGCAGTTCTCAACCTGGGTAAGTTCTAGGAATGAAAGCTCGAAAGCACATCACATCGTGGCTCCTGGCAACATGATCCCTGCCCCGTACCCCACTGAGAGAGATCAACTGTAAAACCCACTAAAGTCATTTAGGTTCCAAACTAAAGTCAATAGGATTTCTATTGTTTCATGTGTACTGGGTTAAATTTTACATATAAATTCAGTCTTTTTACACAGTACGCAGTTTTAGAGTTGTCATAGCCGGGCGTGGTGGTGCACGCCTGTAATCCCAGCACTCAGGAGGCTGAGGCAGGAGGATTGTTGCAAGTTTGAGACCAGCCTGGGCTACAAAGTGAGCTCAAGGTGAGCCTGGACTGCATAGCGAGACCCTGTCTCAAAAAGACAGAAAAAAATATAGAGAGGGAGAGAGTTGTCACGACATTAGGTTATCGAACCATCACCATAGTTATAGAACAGTTTCATTCATCTCCAAAATATTCCCTCACGCTCATCACAGTCAGCCTTTCCCCAAACCACTAGTCCCTGGCAACCACTAATCTGTCTTCTGTCCCAATAATTTTGCCATTTCCAGAATGTTATATAAACGGGATTTTATAATATGTAGCCGTTTGGAACCAGCTTCTTCCACATAGAATAATGCATTTAAGATTCATCTATGCTTTGTACGTATTGGCATCCAACGTGCATATTCCGTTACATAAGCATTCCACAGTCTGTGTGTTTTTGTCTTTGTGAGACAGGGTCTCCCTATGCAGTTCAGGCTGGCCTTAGCTCACTTTGTAGCCCAGGCTGGTCTCAAACTTACAATGATCCTCCTGCCTCAGCCTCCCCAGTGCTGGGAATACAGGCGTGCGCCACCACGCCTGGCTCCACAGTCTCTTTATGCATTCCCTAGTTGCAGGAAATTTGAGTTGATTAAGAACAGAGCCATCACGAGCAGACGTGGAATGATTTCAACATTTAAAAAGTTAGTGTGCCTATATTGTTTATGTACAGGTTGAATACTAATTCTGGATCCAGGTAGCAGTTTAAGAGAGCTCGATACAGATCAAACATAATTGTGTATTGTTGCTTAAAAGGCTGAGGATACAGAATCCTCAAAACCAAAGCCTGTCCCCTGATTCTGCAGCTTAAACCCTGTGAAGGCTCCCGCGGCAGCTCCGCCATGCATGGCGTCCCGCAGCCTGTCCTGGAGTCTGTCGGCCCCCCCGGTGCTCTGCGATGCGTGCTTGACACACTGCGCACTCACCTGGCTGCCCTGGATCTCGGCGCTGCTCTCCCAGGCACCAGCATTCTGTTTGAACATCACCACCAGGCCAGTGTGCTGGTACCGAGGTGCCCCCAGAACCAGGTTTTGTCCCTGCTTCCGTACGATGACCGCAGCAGCGTAACCTAAAGATGGTGCTCTGAAAGCCGAGTGCTTCCCTCGCGGACCCCGCCTCGCTTCCCGCCACCCAGCCTTGGGCAGGCGCAGCGGGACAGCCCCACGCTTGGGAAGCTATGGTGACCCCAAGCTCCATCCCCAGTATTTTTCATTTTGAGACAGGGAAGTTGCTCAATCGCTAAGTGGCCGTGGCTGGGCTTCGATTAGTGATCTTCCTGTCTCAGCCTCCCAAAATGCTGGGATTATAGGCATTTGTACCACCCCTGACTAATTAAAATTCAATTTTGAGATTTCTGTCTTGACAGCTATCCGGCAGAAAGATCCAGCAGGCTCCGTCCTGGCGGGGTACACTACATCCTTCCCCTTCTCAGAGGGGTACAGGCCTTTCTCCACTTACCCAAGTAAGCATCATTCATGTCTGCATTCACCCTAGTTTTGTTGATGAAGGTGACTCTTCCCCCTGATGTATGCAGAAAAGCTCCCCCGGCCCAGTCAAAGCTGCCCACAGAACCCAGCAAGGGGCCGTTCTGGGAAAAGGAGTTGAACAGAATCATGAGGAAAAAGAGACCGCAGCTGCGCATCAAAGAGGTGCCCCCTCCCCAGCCCCAGAAGCCGTCTCAAAGAGCCCCCGCAAGCCTTGCACCTCTTCTTTGGCTGCTTCTTCTCCCACATCCACCGCAAGCCAAGGAAGGGTCACTTACGGAGGTAATAGCTGCGCTGAAACCTTCCTGAGACATCTCGTGCTCAAAGGAGCTGGAACTTCCGGTCTGAGTACCTGGGAGGAGAAATTGCTAACGTTAAAGAAAGCAGAGGAACGGGGTCCAGGGATACAGCTCAGCTGCAAAAGTGCCTGTCAAGTGGAAGGTCCTGAGTTCGATTTCCGACACCAAAAAAAAAAGAAAGCAGAGGAGCTCAGAAAGGGAGGCTCAGCAGGTGCCGTGTTGACCCGGAAGGCATCCGCCCCTCTTTAAGGGACCGCAGGCCCCCGCAGCTCCTTTCTGTCGAGTGAGAATGTGGGCCTCAAGTGTCCGATCTTCCAGCTTTTCAAGAGAAGACGCACAGACTGTACAGGAAATTCCCCAGTTTCTAAATTCTTTCATTCAGTAAACATTTATTGAAGCCGGACATGGCGGTGGACACCTGCATTCCCAGCTACGTGGGAGGCTGAAGCAGGAGGACTGCAAATTTGAGGCCAGCCTGGGCAATTCTGAGACTTAGTAAGACCCCCCTTCTCAAAAAAAATAAATAAATAAAAAGGGGTGGGGTTGTAGCTCAGTGCAAAGGCCCTGGGTTCCATCCCCAGATCCCCAGGATTATGTAGAGAGAGAGTCTGCCCAAAAAATGTATACACATTTCAGGAAAAAAATTTGCATAAATATGTTAGTATTTTCTCTGTGGAGGACCCATTATTACACTGTCAGCCCTTAGAGAAGAAATTGAAAATGCATATGCCCCAGTTTCAGTGACCAGGGTTACCCAAGCAGCAGTTCACCACACTAATAAATACCTGGGAGCTAATGGCTACCACTTTGAGCATCTCATGTAATTGTAGAGGCCAGAGGTAACTTGCACTACTCTCATGATGTCTCAATAAATTTAGTATTAAAATATTTACACAATTTTTTCTTTTCCTGAAGTGTGTATGCATTTTTTTTTTTTTTTTTAGTTTTTGAGACAAGGTCCCATTCTGTAGTTCAGGTTGGCCTTGAACTCACTATGTAGCCCAGGCTGGCCTCAAATTCATGGCAATCCTCCTGCCTCAGCCTCCTGAGTCCTGGGGTTGCAGGCATGCTCTACCACAGCCAACTGTATACATTTTTTGGTAGAATATTTTTTTTTTAAGTTTATTGAGCAAGTTCTGTGTACCAGGCACTATTCTAAGCAAACAAATGCTGACAATACATCCACATTCAGAGGGAAACACTGTGTTGGATTTGGCTCCCCGACACTTCAATTTATCAGCCTAGATTCTCTGATTTCAAAGGAATTGGCTAAGTGAAGCCCAGGTGACTGGGAGTGAGCCGATGTTGAGGTTCAAAATACTGAGGCTTAAGAGGGCCTGGTCAGTGTCTGTAGCTCTTCAGGAAACACCGCTGCCCCTCCTCACCCTCAATGGCAAAGATCTTTTCCTGAAGCTGATTCTGAATGGTCTTCAGAGCATCGAAGTTGTTCACCTGGAACACATGGTCATGAGATGGTGCTGATGCAATGGTATGCAGTTCTTGGCGGTTTTTGTCATTTCTGAAGGCATCTCCCACCTGTTATGGAAGAATAAAGGACCAATCAGATACTACCTTGGAGTAACAGTAGCTTCTAGGAAAAAAAATCCTTAGGAAAATGATCTGAAATGTTATTTGACAGATGAGAAAATACACCAGGCAACCTGAGACAAGGCTGACAAGTACTGTATGGTTGAGCAGGTTGTGTACTGAGCAAGGAGCACTGGGGACTTAAACTTGGCTTTTGATCCATTTGCTCTGCCAGGTCTTCTGGTAGGGGCTGAGCTCTCCCCACTCCAGAGGAAAGGGAGCCTTTTTTTGTATATGAAGGTGGTTCTTACATGCCAAGCTGGTGGAGACCACTACGAAGCAGACCTGAGCAGGACTTAAATTAATCGATTGGCTTTTCATGTTCTCTTGTGAATCTGTCCAAGGCCTAGGCTCCTTGTTGGAAATGGCAGACTCATAGTAAATGAACCTCTGTGAGTCACTAATCCCTACTAGAACTTGTAGTGGTGGAGGAAGCCAGAAAGCCTCAAAGGACAAGACAACTGCCAAGGACACCTGGATCAGATCTCAGCTGGATAAAGACTATAGCCTCAGGCATCTCATTCTTCAGTGGATTAACTTAATACCTTACTTGGAGAAGTCCTTGAGTGGTTCTGCCCTTCTTGAGTACTCCCCTCCCTTCTTCTGATAACCAAATAAATAGAGGCCACCCAGAGAAGGTCTTGGTCTTAGCCCTGAGAGAATCTTGAATTACATGAGAGGACTTTGATCCTCCTGGAGCCCTGAAATCATGCCGTTTGCCTCTTTTTATTTAGCCTTTGCCATACACTCATTCAGGAGATTGCGGACCTGATCAGCCTGCAATAACTAAGGGATATTATTAACCCCATACCAAGCTATGGGTCATGAGGCTACTTTTTCCTATGTCACACAAGGTGCTGGGGTAGTTTGTTTATACTGATGACACTAACTCTTCACGTCTTCCTATATGTGAGCCCTTTCCCCAGAACTTTGCATGCCCTCCTACTCTTGATGAAGTCATCTGCCCCATTCATTCCCTTGGGCTCAGCCATGGATCTTGATTTAGTCCATGGATGGCATCAAATGTGACACAGAGGCTTGGAAAGGCACCGGCAACATTTCCACCTACTCTCCGATTCCTCTGCCTTCATCGCAAGCGTGAACCAAGGCCAGCCCACTAGACAACAAGGCCCAGAAGCAGAAGAGCCAAATCACCCTAGTTTTTTGACCAAGGCCCTCTGTCCAGCAGGCAGGCATAAATGGCAACCCTCAAAAGTGGGGGTCCTGGGAAAGATGAGATCTTCCCCAAAGTCAGCTGCTGATTACAAATGTGACCCCAGCTGAGTCAGGAAAACTATCCAGTGGACTTATAAACTTACTGTTTTCATGTAGCACTGGGACTCGAACCAAGAGCCTTCTCACTGAGCTACAGTCCCAACCTGTTTTATTTTTTATTTATTTATTTTTGCGGGTGAAACAAGATCTCACTAAGTAGTAAGTTGCTCAGGCTGAGTTCAAACTCATGATCCTCCTGCCTCAGCTTCCCAGAGTGCTGAGATTACAGGCTTGCACAGCCAGGCCTGGCTTTCCTTACTATTGGGGCGGGGGGGGGTTTTTTTCTTTTTTTTTTTTTTTTTTGAGACAGGGTCTTGCTATGCAGTTCAGGCTGGCCTTGAGCCTACTTTGTAGTCCAGGCTGGTCACCAACTCGAAATTATCCTCCTGCCTCAGCCACCTGAGTTCCTTACTATTTTAAGCCACTGAATTTTAGAATAATTTGCTTATAGCCTGATGGTGACATCAGATAAGTGAGATGGATCTGTGGGGGCTAGCAGGAACCCTGACCTCACTGTGATTTCACCACTATTTGCAAATTAAGGATGGGTATATCCAAGTAGAAGACTCGCATTTCTTACCCCAATGACATAGCGAATGATGCCCCTTCTGTTTGCCTCAGGGATGACATCCTCATAGTTCAAAGGGTCCCCATACTTCTCTCCATCTGTGATGACAACTAGGACCTTGACTGCATTCTCTCGGGCTCCGCTGTTGCTCTGAAATAGTTCTCTTCTGTCAAATGTAAGTGGACAGAGATGCCGTGAAAGCTAGGGAGGAAATGTCAGCGACGTCAAAGACACCGATGTAGCCAGTGTCTGTCTCCCCTGAGACTTAATGCTGAGCTATGACTGCTCCCCCCATGGAAAGGCAGTGGAAGAGGAGATAAGGGAGAGACAGAGAAAGAAAGCTCTCTTGGGCTTTATGTGCTCTTGCATAGTTTTATATCTTAAACTGAAAATGATGGCTTTTAAGTTTAGAAATTTTCAAACAAGAAATAGACTCAGTCGGGCTTTCATTGACTCTATCCCAGAATATCCCACAGGACCTCGCTGGCTCATCTTTCTATGCTGTGTCCCAGCCCGCCCTACCTTGTAAACACACACTGAAATCAGAGTGAAATTTCCCAAACAAGATGTGACGTCACCCCACAGCTTAGAGCCAGCCAGCCATCCCCACCACCACCAAGCTGCCTTTGGCAGCCTAGACTCACCCCGCCTGCTCACCCCTTCCCTCACCTCTCCCTCGAGTTCCCCTTTGACTCCCCAAAGTGTTTCTTCATGGACGCCCGGCACACAGTTCCTCCTTCAACCCTCTGCTCATGCTGCTCCCCCACCCCCAAAAACAGGCTTCGCCCCAGCCCTTTCTGAGCAACTTCCCTCATCCTTCAAAGCTTTGCTAAAAATATATCCTCCTCTTCCCATCCTCAGCAAAGAGGAAAGAACTTACGTTACTTTGCGGATGCCTGTGGCAGTGTGTGTCAGCCCTCTCAGCTGTCTTATTGGGTTTACCAGATCTCTGGGGTTAGCTTTTTTCTTGAAATCATTGAAGGTGAAATGAGTCCAGAACTCGTCTGAGTACTGCATCAAAGAGAACTGGGAACAGGGCACCTGGCATTACCTTGGAGAAGGCACCCCTCCTCCCCAGCCAGCCCTCTGTCAGTCGTGAAACACACCAATTTCCAGATTCCTTCTCTACAGCTTCCACTCTTCTCAGTACTAGGACTCAGCAAGAGAGGGCACATGGGCTCATCTCCCATGCCAGCCCCCGCCAGTTGGCCAGCACTGTCTGTTTTACCAGGGCTGAGAGGAGGTTAAGCCTGCATCCAGACAGCAGAGAACTGTGAAGTAGCACAGCAACCAAGGTGGCAATGTGATGGAGACCACTGGGAAGCAGCCCTGAGCAGGACTTAAATTAACCAATTGACTTTCCATGTTTACTTGTGAGTCTGTCCAAGGTCTAGGCTCCTTGTCTGGAGATGGGTGGAAGACTCATAGTAAGTGAACCTCTGTGAGTCACTAATCCCTACTAAAACCTGTAATGGTGGGTGAAGCTGGAAAGCCTCAAAGGACAAGACAAGATCACAGCCAGGGACACCTGGATCCAATCTCAACTAGATAAAGACCATAGCCTCAGGCATCTCACTCCTGGATGGGATTAACTTAATACCTTACTTGGAGAAGTCCTTGAGTAATTCCCCCCTTCTTGAGCACTCCCCTCCCTTCTTCTGATAACCAAATAAATCCAGCCACCCAGAGAAGGTCTTGGTCTTAGCCTTGAGAGAATCTTGAATTCTGTGAGAGGGCTTTGATCCTCCTGGAGCTCTGAATTCATTCCATTCACCTCTTTTTATTTAGCCTTTACCACACACTCATTTGGAAGATTGTGGACCTGATCAGCCTGTTGCGATATTATTAACCCGATAGCAACGTTTGCACTTGTGGCGGGCGGGAAAGTAGAGGTCTGGTTACCAGCATTTCCCAGCCTCCCAGGGACTACTCCTTCGCTTCCCCACTGGCGCTCACCAAGGTTTTAGACTTTTCAAATTGCTCCATCACAGTTGAGACAAACTCCTTCATCTTCTGAAAGTCAAAATCGTGGATGCTACCGGAGCCATCAATCAAGAAGGCAATGTCACTCTCCTGCTGAGGACACCCTAGAGAAGAAGGGAGAAAGAGTGCAAAGTAACCAAAGGCTTGCTGCATGTTTGTTGCACGTCAGCTCTCGACTGGCCAGTGAGAAAAGGTGAACAAGAGTCCACCTATGCTGCACGGTAAATGAAAACACAGACTTCCTGGGCATCAGCAAGATGGCTTACCCAGGAGCCCTTCATGTTCACCGCCCCACCACCACCCACACACACGAAGATGGCCAGAACAACCAACCAGCAAATATGGGATGTGATCAGAAATTATGGTGAACATCTAATTTTTTTAATATATTACGATAAAGACATGTTGCCATTAATCCTCCTCTGATTACCTGCTCTCGCTTCAAATATATGCATCCCATCTTTCTTGCCACTTTCTGAAGCAGGTCTGGAAGTCCTCTTTCATGAGTGTCTTTAGCTGCACTGCTATAGCTGCTTCAGTGTCCTGACCTGATGCAAAATATTTACCTTCCATGGTCATTTTGACTTTAGGGTAGAACCAGAAGTCATTTGGTGCCACGTCTAGTGAATGAGGAGCATGAGGACACACCATTATATTTTTACGAGCCTACCTTCCTGTTGGGTGGCATTTGGCAGTAGCATTCACCCCATTTTTTACCACACCTCCACATTTTTAACCATACCTCATAAAGACCCAAAAGAGGATTTTCAGAACGGTCTCAGAATGTGGCTAGAACGACAAGTATGTTTGACAGAAGACCGAGAATTTTGAGAGAAATTAATAGTAATGTCTTTTACTCTAATAAGTCTTTAAAATTAAACATTCACCGTATATTTTTATCACCCCTCATATTCTTTTTTTTGGTACCGGCAACCAAACTCAGGACCTTGCATGTGCCAGGCAGGCCTTTATGCCACTGAGCTATATCCCTGGTCCCTCATATATTTTAATGAAACTAAAGGAGAGTGCCAGAGTTCTATCAAAGGAGCAGCAGAAACTCTACAGAGCACAGAAGTGTGGGTGGCCATCCGCAATGGGTGGAAACCTTGACTCCCACCACCGCTCCCGCCACTGAGGTGGGGCAGGTGAGTGAGAGGACCCCATCAGCCACCCACCACCACCACACCTATCCTTCCCCCACTGCTGTCCGCTGCGGACTCACAAGCACTAAGCCTTCTGCAGGAGCCACCTGGCCTACACATATGCTCACCCCAGACAAGGAGCCCATACTGTGGCCCAGCTGGAGGCCTGGGCAGCTGTTGCACTTTGGAACCAGAGCCGCTGCTGGCTTCTGTCCTGCTTTGTGAATGAGTGGATGCTATGGTTGTGTCTAGATGTCCCCCCAAAGCCTCATCCAGTCATAGGTGGGGCTTTCCAGAGGTGTGGCTAGATCTGGAGTGTGTGATGCTAGGATCAAGGATGTGTGATTACTAAATTAGTCCACTGATTGGTTTGGTATAGTTTTGGGTAGGATTAAGAGTGCCCCACCCTGGGTGTGAGTGCTACCTGCCCTAAGGACAGGTACCCTGGGTATGATATAAGGTTCAGAAAGAGGGTCGTGGCTTGTTGCTTGCTGCTTACTGTCTTCTGCCTGCCCTGCTTCACCATAGACTGTTTCTCCACTACAATGCCCCTCTGCCACGCCATCCTGCCCTGGAGACAGCCAGTTGTGGACTGAAACCTCTACAAACTGTGAGCTAAATAAAGCTTTGCTCCTTTAACTTTTAGTGTTGGGTATTTTGTCTCAGCAACAAGAAAAGTTACTAGGACCGATTCTGATACCAGAGAAATGGGCTCATTGCTGTGACTATGCCAGACCGTGTGGCTCAGGAGTCTTTGGAACTGACTTGTGGGAAGAGTTTGGAAAAATTTGGAGAAGCCGGCTGAAGAAACAGCCCTGGAAAGCCTTAAGCTGTACTTAATGGGAGATTCTGATCAGAGTTCAGAAGACCAGAATGCTGGTAGAAATGCTGTTGGTAAAGACCAGAATTGGGAGGTTTCTGCTGGGAAGAAGGACTGCATTGACTGTTGGACTCCGGATGATGTGTGTTATGCCTTGGCAGAAAGTCTGTCTGCATTTTGCTCATTTCTAGAGACTTTACATAGACTGTGATTAGGGTGGTGGACTAATTAATCTTGCAGAAGAAATTTCAAGGCAGTCTAATGTTGAAGTGGTGGCCTGGCTCCTGTTTGGGGGCTTTTAGCCAGATCTATGTTGAGAATCAAAAACAAAGACCCAAGCCATGTGTGGTGGCACATGCTTGTAATCCCAGCACTCCAGAGGCTGAGGCAGGAGGATCCTTGAGAGTTTGAGACCAGCCTAGGCTACAAAGTGAGCTCAAGGCCAGCCTGAACTACATAGCGAGATCCTGTCTTGAAAAAGACCAAAAAACAAAAAGCAAAGACCCCCAGCAGAATGATTTAAAAACTTGTGAGTTTGTCCAGAAAAGGAAGCTCCAGTACACCTGTAGATTGCAAAGAGAGAGCAGAGGAGAACTTGGTTGCTGAGAAGGAAGAGGACAAGAGAAAAGATGACCTGAGGACATGATAAGATCCACCAGGACTCCACCCTTTGCCTCGAAATTGCACAAGTGAAACACTTCGCTTTGACAAGAGAGCCCCAGAGCCCCATGCTGCAGAATGGCAACACCCCAAGAAAATTGTTCCTCAAGTTATGGTTCATAGGCACTCAACCCCTACGGACAGGAAAGAAGGAAGTCTGACTGCTGCTCCAGCTGGCAAGACCTTGGCGTTATCCTTGTGGTGCTGGTTTTAGGTGCATGCAAGTCCCAAATAAAAGAGGGCTCAATAGACAATCAGCTGGTTTCTCAGCAGAAACTCTGCAGACCAGGAGTGCATGGAATGAGGTATTCAAAGGGCTGAGGCAGAAACATGGCGGCCAGCAACACCATGAGCAGCAAAGCTGTCCTTCAGAAACGAAAGAGAAATAAAATCTTTCTCAGACCAGCAAAATCATGACCGCTATACCTGCCTTACCAGAAATGCCGAAGGGAGTTATTCTAGATAGAAGGACACTAGTTACCATCGTGAAAATATACGAAAGCATAAAATTCACTAGGAAAGGTAAATAGTCAAATCCCAAAACCCATACTGTTACAGCTCTCTGTAAATCAGATATATCTGATATGAAGGTTAGAAGTCAAACAGTGACAAGTACCAGTAACTTCAATATATTTTAAGAAATAAATAATGTAAAATATGTAAATTGTGACACTAAAAAATACATCAGGGCAGAGGTTTCAAGTCTACAGTCATAGGCTGGGGATGAAGCTCAAGGGTAGACCACAAGCCAGCATGTGTCATCCCTGACACTGCAAAGAAAAAGGTACAACTAAAATTAAATTCCAGGAAACTGAGCAAGAGGGAAATCTTTCACATTCGATCTATAAGGCCAGCACCACCCTGCTGTCAAAGCGAGACAAGGACAAACCAGAGAAGGAAGGAGGGGGAGAAGGAACAGGCCCGCCTGATAAATACAGATGCAAAAATCCTGAACAAAATTCTAGCCAACCAAATTCAAGAGCACATTCAAAAGATTGTTCACGCTGATCAAGTAGGATTCATCGCAAGAATACGGGGATAGTGCAACATGCACATATCCATAAAGATGATTCACTGCATTGCCATAGTGAAGGATCAAAGCCATATGATCATTTTAGCAAGTGCAGAAAATGCACTTGGTAAAATTTAACATCCCTTCATGTAAAAGCTCTCAAAACAGTAGGCGTGAAAGATACCCACATAGACCAGGCATGGTGGCACACATGTATAATCCCAGCACTCAGCAGGCTGAGGCAGGAGGATTACTACAAGTTTGAGACCAACCTGAACTATATACTGTGAGAACAAGTGCAGGGCAGCCTGCACTCCAGAGCGAGACCCTGTCTCAAAAAAAAAAAAAAGAAAAATCAACACACAACACAGTAAGATCAAAGCAAATGGAAAATCTGACAAGCTGACAGTCTGCAACATACTGAATGGGAAAATGCTTAAATCATTTCCTCTAAAACTGGAAACAAGACCAGGGTCCACTTTTAGCCCACTTACTCAGTGTAGTTCAGGAAAGGCTTCTCAGAATAATTACACAAGAGTAAGAAATTAAGGACATTCAAACTAGAAAAGAGGAAGTCGAATTGTCCCCATTTGCAAATGACATAATCTTATACACAGAAAAACCTAAAGACATCACAAAAACTCTTAAAACGAACAAATAAATTCAGTAAAGTTGTGGGAAACTAAATTGACATTTAAAAGTAATCCGGGTTTTTTTTAGCAGTGTTTCTATACGTTAACTGTAAACTATCGGAAAAAGAAACCATGAAAATAATTCCACTTACAATAGCCAAAAATGGGACCCTAGGAATAAATTTAACCAAGGAAGTGAAAGATCTCTACTCTGAAAACTGTAAAACACTAATGAAAGAAACTGAACTTGAACACAAAAGAAAATATTTAGCATTCATGTATTAGAAGAATTAATATTGCTAAAAGGGCCATACTATTGAGATAGGAGATTAGGGTGTGGCAAAAGTAGACTGAGGGTGACACCCGGCATGGTGGCGCACGCCTGTAATCCCAGCACTC